CGGACTTAGTGAGGACATTGAGGTTTTTCCCAATACCATTCAAAGTTGCACGTGAAGTGGCTCTGATACCATATTTAACAGCCTAGTCCACTAGGGATATTGTCCGCACTGCTTTAAAACGCATTACTAGGGTCTAAGGCCCGTTTACTTATATACCCAGTATCTATCCCGTGTTTTGTTGATGTGGAATTTGCCTAGGATGTCACCTATATCCTACATTGTTTTGGTGTTTCTTTGAGTAATTTAATAATTTCATCGGTAAAAAAACTCTGTACTTAATGTTAGCATAGGCAACTGGCAAATATAAGCACTTTGAGATGTAAAAGACTTGTAACAATGTGCCACCAATCTTAATTAAGATGTAAAGACCATGGCGCAAATAGATAGTATAAGCTGATAAAATCAATCATCTAAATTTCATTAGCACAAGTAGTTGGTCTGACTTGTTTTACATATAGCAGCAATCAAAAAGCCGAGGCGCCAAAAGTATAAATACCAAACAGATTTTAAGGGGAAACAAGTGTTCTCTTGACTGTATATCGTGTTACTCTTCAATCCGTTGTATAACAGGGCATGTTCCAAATAATCAAAAGTTAAAAACACCAAAGAAAGGAACAACTCCAGAGCAAATCTAAGATGTTGAGGACCAGTGTAGTCAAGAATTATGTACACCTTACTAAGCTGCAGGAAATCTTCACATATACGTCTGGTTTTCATTCTCGTTTAGCTCTCTTTCTCTTCAGCTCCGTACACTAATTTGTCTCCTGGAATTGCATCAACTGGGAAAGGAAATCAAAGAGTGTTAGAGAATCAGAGGTAAATAACTTAAACTGTATGACCAGAAATCTATCAAGTTTAGGCATCACTAGCGCTCTTCGCACATTTTTTTTCCAAGTATAATTCTATGATCTTTTGTTCTCTTTTAAATCAAAGGTATACAACATATTTGTTTCTGAAAGTAGAAGATCAGATTGCAGATATAAACTAGAGAACAGATTGCATCTATAAACTATATATATATATATATATATATATATATATATATATAGGGGCTCAATAACTGAGCCATCTGAATGAGCAAGTGACCGCTTGCTACCTACACTGCTGTCATTTTCAGATAACAAGACATTATTCTTAAACCTATGTACGTTAAACACTGACAAAGCATGTAATAACATGCCATTTAGAGTCCTGAGCGGAACAGAAACATGTCGCAAACTAGTAAAGAGGAAAAGCAAATATAGGAAAACAGTGATAAAGCATTAGTTATTTGACTAACATAAAAAATGTTTTACTCCTCCCTTGTGGAAGAAGATCTTAACTTGACTATGCAGCAAATACGATATTGCAAACTAGCAATGCGCCAGAGTAACTTAAACAGCAAAAGGTAAAAGAAACAAAAACTCTTGCCTTTCCACAAACTGGGCATTTTTCACTTCTCTCCTGCCACTCATAAATACAGCTGAGGTGATAATGATGTGAACATTTTGTCGATATCTTGGGGTTCTCTGGTGTAAACTCTGCATAAAAGAAAAAGTCACTTCAAAAATTATTTATCCAACTACGTAGCATGCTAATTGCAGATCAAATAGTTCAACGCAAGCTACCTTCGAGGCATGTTGGACATACATCCTCATCTTCTGATGAGGAAACTGCATACTGGAATCCAGTCTCCAACTTTGATAAATTTACCTTTTCAGGGGACTCGGGACAACCTTCTTTATATCCTCCTTCACTGTCTAATTTAATCAGCTTGTCTGCTTGTAGAAGTCTTTGTGTTATTTCAACATCAGCATCTCCAACTGGTTCAGGCTCAACTCGTGAATGACTTGTTCCTTTGTCCTGTCGTCTAAATGCAACTTCTTGTTGCACTTGTGGCTGTCTTGGAGCAGCATTATTTGATAAAACTCTACCCTGAGAACTGATTGTATTACATGAACTATTGTTGGTAACTACAACAGTCGAAGATGATGGGCCTTGATTAGCTGAAGTCACAGCAGTTTCTTGTGCTCGACCAAATACAGCTCCACACTGATGACAAGTAATACTTAAAAGTCAATTTCATGATAAGGAACATTCAGCATATTGTAAAAAGTTAGCATCTTAACGAGGAAAGAGTCATTACGAAAACGAATCATTAGCAAAAAGGATGCAACTACACGAGCAATATATTCATGATTGTTGTTACTACAGCTATAATTAGAATTTTCCAGGTTAGCAATAATAAACAATGGATTCAAGGCTGCAATATTCGTTTCTGTGGTTTGTTTCACAGTTCTTCAAAAACAAGAGAGCTTTTCCATGTTTAAACTATTAAAGATGATATGTGATCACATTAGCGTCACGTTTAACATTTTGCACCAAGCGACGAGTTTTGCTATTCTGTGAGTTAGTAATTTATGAGCTAGTAAAATATGAAAAAGAAAGTTCCATCAAGTGTCATCTTTGTTCATAATACATTAGAACAGAATATTAAAAGCAAACAACGACTGATATTTGATGTATTAATCGGTTAAAAGCTAATCCAGTATCCATAATCAAATGGTATGTTGCAGATTGAGCAAGGACAGAAGATGCTGCACATTCTTCATGTTAGTATAATCGAAAATCCTTTAGGTTTGGGATTCAAAGAGCTACATTATTCTTTGCAAAAGAGCAAGGCAGGTCATCTCCCTAGTTCTTTAAGGTAGTTGAAGTTTTTCCTTGGAATCATCTTCACCTGTTGTGCTACTTAAATATTCATTATTGCTATAGTTAGTTGAGCTGGTGGTCCAACTAATTAACTAATTCAGCTAGACACGATTAGTTTTCGGTAGTTAAGAATCTTGCCATCATTTATTCATAGAAAACTGACAAGGCAGAATTAGCTTAGTGGTAGAGGGCAACATTGTGGACGAAGCATTCACGTTCACGTAGGGTCAGAGGAAGGGCTGCACCATAGGGCCTGGGTAGTCCCTAATGCAAGCATTAGTGGCTGATTCCACGGCTCGAACTCGTGACCTATAGGTCATACGGAGACAACGTTACTGTTGCTCCAAGGCTCCCCTTCCAAACAATGTGAAACATTAAATAGTTCATCGCACCATCCAAACATTAGGATAAGATAAACATATACAATTACTTCATAGCCAAAAGCAAAAGAATTTTCGACAGGTACCGTATTAAGTATGTTCTGAAAGCAGCAACTAAAACACTGGCAGCTGCTATGGTTTTGATCATTTGAGACAGCAGCATTCTCTCCAACATTAGAAACAGTGAAACAGCAACAAACTGAACCCATGATTTTTCTTCAATTCATTACACAAATCTTCAACCTTTTAGTATCAATTCCCTTTTAGACCAGTAGCCAAACTTTCCTTTAAAGCAATAAAAAATTACAAATAAGCAAACAGAAGTAAACACTAAAACTAAAGTAAACAAACATGTCAGACCAAAAATAGTAAATTTCTTTTTCCCAATTTATTGCTCTTAATGCAAAGATTAAACAGAAATACAGTCATACTTTTTATAACACTCTAATTTGTTCCGAGTTTTTTCGGCTGTTATAGCGAAGTGCTTTAACAGAGAACATATATTATAACATAGCATAAAAATTGGTTCTATAAAAACTTGGTTTTTATAGTGAATGAGTATTATAGAGAGCTCTAACCGTAAAAAATAAAATTTTTCTTTTTTTCCCAAAAATTGCTAGGAAAAGTACTTTAAAAAATTTATGAAACTGTAAAATAATGCAATCAATCACTGAAAAATTAACTCATCATCAAAGCAACCTTAAGACCTATGGAAACAGAACAGGGATTCTATTGCTTAGTATTTGGAAAATCACACTTCACACACACACACAGAGGTATATTGATAAGAAAACACCATAACCATAACATGCAAGTCTCATTGATCACAAAAAAGAAGCAGCAAATACAACTCATAATCATAAAAAGAATAACACACAAAAACATCATTAAATTTTATATAGAAGAGAAACAGAGAGAAAGAGGGGTGACAATACCAGAGACAAGATTTTGGATAGCAAAGGGTCTGTGCTGTGGAAACAAATAATGAAGAGTTTTGAGAATTGAGGAAAGAGAGTTGACACAAAAAAGGAAAAGTTTCCACCTTTTTTAATTAGAATCTTTGATTATATGGAAAACTCTCTCTATTGGGGGTGTATAAGGTATCACGGCGAGGAACTAGCTGAAAAATTATACCTCTGTCCCTTTTGTTCTGTTTAAGGTACACCTAAATATATTTTACTACTAAATACTAAATCCTACTCCCACTTGATCTAATATTCCAAAGATTTTAAATATATAAAGAAGATATTATAATGCGTTATAAAAAGAACTTACATACATTGACAGTTTCTTAATTTTTTCAATTTTGGAGATGAATTCCGCCATGCGAATAATAGGTTAAAAAAAATAGATTTAAAGGAAAAAAAAAAGGACTTGAAAGTCATACTTTTTATGATATGGTCGAATAATTGGTATATGTTTGTTTTTTATTTAAACAATAAACTCTAAAATTAAGAGACTTTTTAATTAGAGAACGTTTTACTTTTTTTTAGCAAGTCTAATTAACAAATTAGTAAACCATAGTGGTGTAGAATTGAATTGTAACAATTATACCATAACTTCAATTACATATTAGGAGTACTTATATTGTCCCCTCTTGTCTTTTCAATTTTTAAGATCGACTATATATTCATTTAAAA